TTCTCAAACCACTACCCTGTTCATGAAGGTGAAACCCTAACACTTAATCAATCCCAACTTTTATGGAAATCCTGGAATAAGGGAACTAATCCTCTTTTTTCATAGATTAATCCTGATCAATGCTAGGTCGATTGAGTTGTAAAGTTAGAGCCCCATTTCACCCCTCAATGGAGACACTCGGGTATTCTTCAATTGATTAAGCTCTATACTTGCGAAATGCATATGAATCGGTGGCTAATGGGCATTGCTGCGTGTTTCTAGTCCCAAAAATGCAATGACATGCTCCTTCCTGTTGGCATGATGTCCCCAATAATATTGGACTTCGTTCATCTAATAGGACTTCCATTGACAGGTATGGAGGTAAACACTTGCTACAAGGAACCAAGGAACTACTAAACAGCTACCAAGATGGTGGTGGCAAACTGTTAGCTGCAACAAAAAGTTTGAGACATGCCCAAGAGCCATTGAGACTACTGTCAAATGAATGGCATACTTCTCTTTGTCTTATTATCCTAGGAAGCTATGTGGTCTTTGATAGCTCTCTCTTTTTTTATTTGTGTAGCTTGTCTACTTGGTCTTTTGATTAAAACAAAAAAAAAAAAAAAATCTTTTCATCTATGGCCCACCACCTTTGTTATTATCTCATTCATTACATGGTATTATCTTTGAAACCATCAAATAGTGATTGCAACTAATGAATGAAAATAAATGAAAATTTTCATTTCATGACTTAACAAATACAAAACCAAACAAAACATTCCTATTACAGAGGAATTACACTTAAAATGTTCGATCCTCTTATTCAAACAATAGATGGCTTATTCCTAATCTTTTGTGGCATCCATGCTTAGAGGCTCCATCAAGTATCCCATTGACTCCTTGAAAGGCCTTTTGGTGTAAAACTTTCATTTGATATTCAATTTACTTGGTCATCTTCTTTTGTGCCCATTTATTCTGGTTCTTGGTTTTTGGACTAATTCCCAATATTTTAGCCCAATTGCCACTATTTGGCTCCTTCCTCTTGCATCTGCAAACTATCTTGGCCACTATATTGGCCATTTCCTGGATTTGTAGATTCCACTGGGTTGGTACTTGAACTTGCTTCATGATTGCCACTGTTTGGCGTCATTTCCACAGTTTCATTGATGTCAAACACAATCTCATCTTATTTTTTATTTTCTAACCATTTTTTTGAGCCAAATTAATAATGTCATCCCACCGGGTGTGCCAAAAGATCGTTACTCCATATTTCGCTGAGATCGACGAAAAGATTCCAATCGATAGGCAACTTTTAAGCGATTATTTGTGAAGGGTTCAAATGTCATGTTTTATAACTTCCTTGGATGAATTCTTTTATTAATTCAATTGATGGGACTTTGGTTACATAAAATATTGAATAACAATTTTGATGACAGCAGTAACTGCTTCCTAAAATTAATTCTTGTATTAATTCAATCGAAGGGACTTCGGTTACAGAAAAAATTGAATAACAATCTTGACGACAGCAGTAACCACTTTCTAAAATTAATTCTAAAACTACTCCTAAAAAAACCCAAATCGTAGGGTCTTGTGCGGGTTTGAGTATATCATTCATCTTCTCTACTACATGCAATTTTATAGTCAAGGTCTTTGACGATTTTGCTTCCATTGATGGTTATTTATAGAATAACCTTTAGTTTGTTATATCTCTTTTCAAACATAGATGTGGTTAATCATCTCCCACATTTCTTCAAATTCTGCCACGTGACATCTTCTGAATACATCCATATTACCAGATGTCGATACATTGAATATTCGTACGATTTAATATTTTATGTTCAAACTGCACCACAACATCATCACCATTAATATGATCTTGCAATCATGGACATTCATCTCGTTTTTTATTTTGATTAGGAAATCAAAGGTGAAGCCAGTGGTGATTGGAGTGTTGGCTATAAGCATAAAGCTTGCTGATATTCAACCAAATGATTATTCTTGGAGAAAGGTCAAAAACCAATTAAAGATTTTCCAATTCCGAGCCGTGTTATGAAGTTGTTTTCGTGTTGTTCAATGCAAATCCATCAAGCGGCATTCTCTGTTTTGCCTTTTAACCTTCTAACTAACATGTGCCAAAACTACCAAACAATGAACTTTGAATATCACTTGCAATGTTGTCCTCACATCTGTTATTACGTTGATCTGTTAATCGTGCTATTCGTTCGATGTATCTTCAGTCAAGTGAAGTTTAACAATATGGATAAGGCAATAAGTTTCTGAGGGTAATGAATCATTTTCACTTTTTCAATGCTTATAAATAATTTTAAATACCATGTAAAACATGATCGGATGACCACGCAAATAATAGTTGATTTTGCTCAATTATTTTTTAGTAGAAGTGATCATCAAAGTCTCTTACCTTCCATTTAAAGGTGGATACAATTTTTCTGAATTTTTAAGATCAGATATTACAGTTGCATGATTGATGTGTTAAAGAGATACATGCATGTCTTGCATCTGACCAGTTATTTTTGTTATGAATTTAATATAAGCTCTCAGATGTAGTGTTCTGTTGATACCAAGGAAACAAAAATTGTAACCATACTAAGGTAATGAAACTTATACTTGACAGTTTTAAGGCACTGGTATGTACTTTTCCTTTGAATTTGTTTTATGACCATGGCACAGTAAGAATGCTATGAATCTTGATAGTTTTAGACACCAATTCTTCTCTTTTTCTGTTTTTGCTCTTTTGACAAGTAGATAGTTAGCTATGCCAGTTGATCCAAATTTCCTATTCAATGTTTGATTTGAAATATCTTTTGCCTTTATATAAGAGGAATGTATTGGGGCTTAATTTACTGACCTAATTTGTTGATCTAATTCACCGTGACTTTTGGATTAACTGTAGGGCTCATCAAATATTAGAACTTGGTGTTGATCCAATGGTTGTAGTGAAACCACATCATTATGTCAACAAATTAAATCAAATTTTTAGGGCCAAATAGTATTACTCTTTATATAATATTACACAACATTAGATTTTCTTGTTGGTTTGCATAACTTGTAATAAAGATAAAATATGTTGATGTGATTGTTGGGATGAGATTGTCACCCATTTCTTTTACCTACTATTTGGTCGATGCCATTGATAATATCCTTTTGGCAACATTTGACGTTTTCCATTTAATAACATCCATTCCTTGCACCTATGCTTGATGTCATTTTAGAAACTAGAGAATAATAAGATACGATAATTGAAACTCAAAATATTTCACATGTAACGCACGTGTATACCAACTAATTAAATTTAAGTGGCATCATTCAAACATAATATATACAAGGGTAGAAGATGATCACAAGTTAGTTTCGTTTATCTAGAATCTACTAATCAAGATTTTAATTATCTTGTACATGCAAGTAAAACTCTGCCTAATTAGTGATTCGTCAGACTAAATTGATTCTACTTGATGAGAAATAGTTGCCAAGCATCAATAAATGATTCTCCACACATATATAAAAATCTCAATGAGCCTTGCACGAATTAAGGAATATTTGACTACAAAATAAGTGTGTCACCTTGTACGGCAAATGATGAAAACATGAGAAGATGGCAAAAACCACTATAAATACCAGGTAAGGATTAAGTCTAACCTGTGCATTTCTTTTCCCGTAAATTTGTCTGCTTATTCTCAGAGCTCTTATTGACTTAAACATCGAAATATCTCCGTTTGGACCATCCCCAATTTGTAGCATTTTATTCGTTTTGCAAGAAAAAGGTACACTATGTTAGTTTTCTCTCAAAAACTGAGCACAAGAAATTCACCTCACCCTCAATATCAAGTGTGAACTCCAAATCTTAAACTAGTGCGTCCACGTCATGGGGAATCCACACAGAAGGCAGAAGGCGTGTTTTGCTCAATCACGTTTTTTATTTGAATGGTTACCCTTTGAATGTGTGTTTGATATCTTGCTTTTCTTCATATCCCCTGACATTTAAAGCGTGATCACTAATCACGAAGCGATGCCATGTTGCATAAATATTTATCCAAATTTTATATTTCAAATCAATGCAGATGCTTGGGTTAGTATAGTCCACCAACTCCACCAAATATGAGATTTTAACACAATACTTGAAATACAAGATTTAGACAACAATTTATGCTGCACAACTTTATCCTTTTTTTAATAATAACCATGCTTTTAAAAAGTATAATAATTTAGTAAATAAGTTTAAAACTCTCATATTTTAATAAATAATTTTTTGAATTGTCGTATTTCGTTACTTTGGTAAATTTAAAAAAAACGTATTGATTGAAATCTCATCAAAAGTTTGTCTACATATATTCTTTCTGGTTTGTAAAATCCTATCTACATTCTTCTTCGGGTACATTAAATTGTAAGCAACATCCCCTCAATTATTTATTAAGAAATATAAAATTAAATAACATATATTTCAACACACACTTCATTAACTTTCTTTTTATTTTTCCTCTTAATTTTAAAGAGATACATTTTGGTGAATCAAAAGGAAGACCAATCCTTCCATGCTTCTCATTTTGCTTCCTTACCAAACATAATATTTTATCTATCCTTTAAACTTTTCTATCCTTCCACTTTTCCATCATATACCAAACAATGGGAAAACATAGGATACACCACTTGTCTACATAAGATGGAGCTGATCCAACTAAGCATACAACGCTATGTAGCATCCACAATCGAACTAGCAGATATTTTCTGACATTTTTCTTTTATCTTTGCTCAATTACAAAACAAAAAATCCGAAGAATTGCATGCATACTCGTAATCCGTTAAGACTAGATGCATCAAATGGCTAACGCAGACTAGATTTTGTCCATTAGATCTGGTCACGTGAACTAAAATTGCCAAATCTAATTCCAAATTATGTTAACCTACAAATTAACTCAACGAATGCCCTACAAGAAGTCAACATGAATAAAACCATCACACTCGTACACTTTCCCGTACTAATACACCTTAATGAGAAGAAGACTATGCTAACGATAGCCCCGTCCCCTTCCACGTCCCCGCCAACCCCTGCCTCTTCCACCGGTCCTCCCACTGCTATGTAAACCATCCAATGCCTTGTGTACAAGTTGGTTTTGTACACCACCTGCTTCTCGACCCTTTTTGGCAGCGGAAGTGCCTGAACCATTAGCAGCGGCAGCACGTTTCTGACTGCACTCAAGATTTTAGCAACAATAATATGATGCTGAGAATGGTAGATAATCATAATAATAATGAAGATCAGATGTTTTGTCTCATACCCTGAAACAGCACCAGTAGACGGGACTGAAAATTTTGTTGCTTCTTTCCACGACAAGTTAATTTTCTTGTCTCCGATAAAAGAAGGTGATTTTGAATGCAATGGCTGAATTGTAGACGTGTTAGATAAAATTTCCCAGCATGCCTAAACGTGTATTGAGGGAAGCATGGGAAAACCCTTTACCTGGGTCATTGCCAGTATGTTGTTGCAGGCCCGAAGCTCACTCGTAGTGTTCTGCTTCTGTGTCTTCTGCAAATTGTAGATACCCATAATCAGAGATGCGCACAAAATATCACTAGGCAATAATCCATGCAAAGTCCAGAAGGAAATTTTTGAAGTGGAAGAAACAGAGCAGGGAGAAAAAACCCACTATAATGTTCTTTTCCTCATCTGTTTTAGCAGCAGTCATCAGTCTGTTGTGCTCTGCCATCCCTTGCGTCAACTTCTTGATCATAGCTTTAGCTAAATCCTCTACAATACCCAATCTGCAGAAACATTAACCACAAAATTAAATATTACATCTTCAAGAAAGGAGGAAATGGCAGCCACTATGATGCTCATGTCACAAGCAAGATCTAGGACAGAATTATGATATTACCATTCAATTCAAACAAGTAATAATTATGTCAAATCTAAGTAAGTTCTTTTAAAATTCGACTCTGGAAATTATACATAATTACTGTTTTTAATGATGCATGCCAATTTGTTAAATTTAATCTGAACTTGTATCTGTGTAGTTTCAACATACCCTCGATTTGATCTTTTAATGTGGCATCATTTCATTTCTTCAATTACCCCTTAGCTTTCATTCATAATATGTGCAACAAGAATTCCATCATAAAGTTCATTGCTGACCCAAAGGTTGACATATCTCTTCCTCTCTAGGTTTTGTTATTCCCCTAAGCTGATTTGAAAAGCCAGAAAGGTTTAAATGGTATCTTCTAATCCTTGACAGGGAGTAAAAACTCCGAGGACAGGAATAACGGACCTTTCATTAAGACGTAACAAATCTAATGCAATCTTTCTTGCTGTCTTTTATAACAAGGAGAACAGAACTAAATGGCAATCTCTAATAACTAAGAAGAACAAAACAAAGAACACATTCCGCAATAAAATATTTCTTTTCTGGAAGAGTGGCGTGTGAATGACTTGCATTGTTTCAGAGACATGAAAATTTATATTCAATATCCCAACGCTAGAAAGGAAAATTAGATGTTATGCATCACCTCTCAGTGAAGTCTTTATAGTACTCTGAAAAATCTTCACCAAGCCTATCAGATGGTTGGCCTGTGACAATCTTGTAGCCACACAGACTATTTGTGGCATTAGGAGTCTATAACAATCGAAAAGAAATGATGAATCAGAAATTCTAGCATGACAATTGGGCCAACTGGAAAATAATAAAGTGTTTACCTTATGTGCTAAATGGTGGAAGGTATACAACAAACATTCAACATTAGTGAACTTAATGTCTTCAAGCTTTCTCCGAATCATGTGCTTCTGACAGGAAAAAGAAAAAGAAGAACAAATGTAAACAATAATTCATACAAATGTTTCCAAACTCTAAAAGAGCAGGTAGCATAAAAAAGCATAGGAATAAAACAATGTGCCGCCATGGCTCCAACAGCTTAAATGAAGCACAAAAAGATCTGCACGTGAAAGTGGATGGAATATGTAACCACCAATCACAATAAATATAACTGAGCCACACGGAAAACACATAGCAAAGTATCATTTTTGTTTAAATTTGAAATACCCTATACAATACTGGCAATGTCTATAAGTAAGCACCTTCAGAAGTTGAACAACAGATGGAAGAAGCTGCCGGGAGTCTTGCGGTGCCACATAATGTGAACATTCTGCAAGATTCTTGAGCAAGTCGAGTTTTCTATCTTCAGGAAGCTGACAGGGTAAGCATATAAAACCACATCACACAACTCCAAATTAATATGGACCACACACTACATCAGGAAAAAAGAAGCAGAACACTGAACTAAGAATGCCACAAAAACCAATCAAGCACAAAATAAGCAGTATATTAAATTAGGAAAATCAAATAACAGAGAAAATTTGACAAGCATAGCACATAACAAAATTAGTAATAACTAGGAAACTAATCTCCAGATACAGGTCATAGCGAACATATGATTTTTGAAATAAGTCATATGACACATTTAATAACAACTACAAAATATGACTGTGAAAAACATCCCTGAATGCCAGACGTACACAAATAAAGTCCAACTACACAAGAAAGTCACTTCCAACTGATGTCTAACCCATCTACATGCTACCAATTCAGAATGTGACTATTGCAGTTTGGATTAGATTGAAATCACAGGTCCCATAGCATGAAAACTAAAACAGATGTTTCCAAATAAGTAAAATCTATTACTATTGAGATGACTTTTTTGTTAAATTTGCAATGTATTGACCTAGTTGTTTTAAAATCGAGAAGCTGCTATTAGCAAGTTAAAATTTCATAATAACACCTCAATAAGCTACTTAAGGTCTCTGCAATCCTGCACAAATTGGTTCCCTCAGTAATAACAACCGAAGTTAGAATAGGTGGCAGATTTATTATGTGGTTGAGTTCCAATATGCGATCGGTGAACCAACAATGCATGCCCATCAACTGTGACTATGGACCAGGCTTAAAGAATGAGCTTCCATATGCCTATCTACATTGTAACTCAAAAAAAAATGTAAAAAATGTTGCACACGAAGAAAGACCAGAGGCAGGACAGAAACAATGTCTGGTGTTAAGAGTAGTGAGGAGTTGTCTGATACAATTCAAAATAAAGTGCTGAAAATTTCCTTTGTTGGTAGTGAATCAACTAGCCTAGGAGATTCAAGATGATAAATGTGTCTGGATAAACTATTTAATTAAACTTGTCTAAAATAAGATTAGGCAACTCATCTGCCTTAATATTCACACCCTTTTCTCAAATGAATATTAAGTGATGAAAAATTGTGCACTATCAACAATGCCCAATGAAGAACCACAGAAATATCTGAGTCGCTTGCAGTTGATAGGGGATAGCAGGTATCCCTAAATCTTGATGAAATGGCACCTCTGCAGTCTCTTGTAAATAGAATGATTGATTGTCTTTAATCTATACTACTTTAAAATGTCAAGATATTAGAAAAACTTTTGATTATCCATGATACCTTTGGTTAATACTCTAATGTTAGTTTTGTCTCTAATGTTAGTTTTGTCCTGTTGTAATAGCTACATTAAGTTATTTCAAGTTTAAGGCCTTAATAAATTTTTAAGTAAATATTTAATGTTCACTGAATGCATCAGTTACAAGAAGTTGAAGTATTTTTATGTTTCCATATTATACTTGATACACAGAAGGTCAAAGACGTTTTTTTTTTTTTGATCATGTACATTTCAAACTCTTGGCCGTTGGGCTGCTAGCATTTTGTATCCTGTTATCTCACATATATTCTGGCAATCTCGAAACACAAGACAAAGCCCAAGCCCTAGGTTCATATTCTCGATGATCAGAACAAGTTTGAGAAGAGAAGAATTTGATAGTGTGATTTTCATGATTATCTTACAGCTAAAATTACTAGGTTTGGAATCTCATCTGCTTTGATGCTTTACTCGTATAGCTATGTCTTTTAGAAAGGTCTGATAGTTCAGCCAAGAAATTATCTACGTCAATAATGTCGATAAGCTCAATTCTATTATCTCTTTTGCATCGATGATTTTAATCTGTATTGTGTAGAGATGGCTATTCAAGACCTTTTTGAGAGGTTCGTCACATGTGGTTTCTGCACCCACAAATACTGGAAAAACTTTGATTACCAAAGTTGCAGCAGTGGCAAGTTAGCTAGAGGAAGGAAAATATTCTACACCACATATCTCAAGGCTTTAGCTTTTATGTAATCAGAAATGAAGTTATGGTATCTAGTTGTTTCATGACTCAAAAAAATTGGGTTCAATTTTCAATAGCTTTTCCATTTCCCAACGGTTTCATTAATTTTCTTCTTGGAATGGGTACATGCCGTTCTTCATACAATGCCAGCAAACGGCATTTCGGAAGGCCTCTTAATTTTATTACCTAATGGCCTTTTTATTGCTCACTAATTCTAGGATAGAGTTCTTGAATCCAATTTAATTTCAATCTAGAAATCTTGATTATTTCATGTTCCATGATTTCAAGAAAATGTTTTTTTGTACTAAGAAAATAAGTTAGGTCTATATTCTTACGGGTATTATATTCAAGTGGTTTTAATTGCTACGAATTATCAGAATAATCTCATATTATTATTTAGTGGGATCTATCAGTTAGGCCATGTAAGTTTTAGTATAGGATGAATGCTGTTGCTGGTTACTGGCCTTGCAAGATTACCTCCTTTTTTTTTTAATCTAGATATTATAATTATTCAGATGTTGCAAACTACATAATTCAGAAAGACCTCCCATCATTGAGATCCATGCTATTGTAGTGAAGGCAATCTCTCACTTATGTGTATCTCATTTAACTTAATGGGCAGTACATACTCATGTATTTCGAAGGGAAGCAAAGCATGAGAAACCCACAAGATGTTTGTACTCTGTGTTTCGAACATAGTGGCCTCACTTCTAATGGACCATTATTAGCAGCCAACTTATATGGAATTTTAATTCTAAAGCTATTGCCTACAATGGCTGGATTGGATATATTTTTGAGCATGATGGAAAGGAAATCTCGATTATAGTCAAGCATCATGGTTGCCTGAATGCAATTAGTTTACTACTTATAGAAATTCTTTGCCAATACCCACAGGTCAAAACTTTGTTTTCATATAGAGTCTATGCTTCTGGAGAAAAATCCCGATAAACGTGGCCACAAAACCTTTCTAACTAGACAAGATTTGTTGTTTGGTTTTTTTTGGTAGTGAACTAAACCAGCAATTGAAGGGACAACAAATGACATTTACATGGAATAGGGACAATAAAATGAAATTAACATGGCATTTATCATATCTTGTTAGTTTGATAAAGCTCAAGTGTTCTGCATCCCCCAAAAAAAAAAAACCCTACATTATGCCTACACAATTTTTTTGAGTTTATGCTTGTGGGTTTCAGACACTTTTCTTTTATTAATATTAATTTTGACAAATCCTGGTAGTGATGGTTGTTATAATGAAGAAAAAAATATTCTTTTATTGAAGTGATTTTTTGAAAACTAGACATTATGTTAGGATGAAGTATGAACATGGTTTTCATATGTATTTATGATTATAATCTTTCCTTTGGTTGTAGATATCGTAAATTGTGTGTGACTGATGAAACCATGGCCCCAAAATGTTAATATAACTCATGCCTTTCCTTGTAGTTGAGAACGTCAAAGTCACCCATGTTACCTTAAGGGTATTGTATGAGCAATACATCAAGTAGTTCTTTTTTTGGTGATATTGAATATGTTTAGATGCAGAAGTTAGTATCTGATGGTTACTCAGTGATATGAGTTGTCTCAAATTAATTGCATTTGTCACTATCAAGGATTCACAAAGAGCAAAAACTGAGTGCTTCTTTCTGGGATTTCACTTTCCATTATGTTTTATGTGGTTGCTTTCTTGTATATGTTGCTCCATATGTTCATTTTCTAGTGCACCTTATTGCTAATCCGATTTGTGAGGTGAAATGATCAAAACCTTGTCCAAATTCCAAGTAAATTCCAACATATTTACTTGAATAAATGGTAGTACATGTTTTGACTTTAGAATGTAGTTTACAATGATGTCTTGTTTATGTGCTAAAATTTAAAACGAAAATTTTCCCTTATCACTTGATACAACACTACATCCCTTGTAAGAATATAAGGATTAAATTACCAATTGAACTTTGTTCAAGTCCATCTATTGAAATATTAATCCTCTCTCTCTTTGTCTGCGTGTGTGTCATTCACCGGATTTGCTTGGGAAGCATAGAATCAGCTACTACTTCAACAAGTTTGTCAAAGTTGAGGTATATTACAGATCCTTAGCATTATTAGAGGCTTTTTTTTTTTTTTACCAACACAAACTAAGTTTCTCTGTTTTCAATTCGGTCTTACGTCCAACAAATTTGTTTGGAGATTTGCTTTGAACCCAGCACCACTTCTTATGTACATAGGTAAAACCAATTTTGTAATTTCAATTCATTTTCAAATCATCTAAGTTTGAATTAATTGATTGAATATGAAATTTTTTTGTCAAATGTATAGTTTGAAAGAAATGTTTGGATCTGCTGGCAATTGCGAAAGGAGATGCCCAAAGTGCGGGCAATTTATTAAGTACCTCTAAGTATAATTCTGATTTAAATAGGCAATGCCATGAAAGGTTTTTCCAGACTTTGATTAATAGATTTTGCTACCTTTCTCTTTTGGTGGTTGTTTTTTCATAGTAATGGAAGATCTTGCCCTCTAAACATGGTTCTGTGGAATACTATACATCTCCTGTTCCACAAGAGGTCGAAATCGGATTGTACTGTGTGTTAAAGTTTGATGCCTATCTTACTTGATTCTAAATTCAAGCATGTTAGTGTAGAAAAAGAACTGAAGCATGTTTTCATACATGTAATCCATGTGCAATTGTATTTCTTCAATTATAGAAACTAAAGTTAGACTTGGATTATGTAATGAACCATTAAACAGATTGAATTTTTGTGAGGAATTTCACCTCCCAAGTCAACTCCTTTTCTTCAGAACAACAGAGGACTTGACACAGTGGGTTAATTTAATTTGCACAACTTAGCATGTTATTAATCGGATAATATCACAGTTTTAATAAGAGAGATATCTTACACCTAAGAATGTTATATTGATTTAACTTGTAAAAACTCAATAAAAATATAACTCAACATAATTCACATGCAACGCACGTATATATCAACTAGTTTAAGATATGATTAAATATGCATAACCAAAAAATGTCAAGGATGTCAAAATGCCAGCAGCAGCAAGTACAGCAGGACTAATAAACCTCATTACCTCATCAAAAACAGGTATGATCTGTTTGATCAAATAGTTGAAGAACTTGCTGCTTGATGCACCCCTCTAACACAACAAAGGCTAAGGTTAGTAGATAGTTTCATAAGCCAATAAATTGGGAGAAAAAAAAATTGCAAGTGAAGTCTTGGCTCTACACCATGAAAAGAGGAAGAGCCATGTTCAGCAGAGAAATTAATCGGTCCATGTGGTCTCCATCGGAAACCTGTAGCCAGCAAGTTGATCATCAGTAGTGGAAAAAGAAATTCTTACCGATGCTGAAAGAAAGGATATAAAATGAGGCAAACAAAACAAGTCATTTCTATGTCTAACCAACCCCTGTTAGCATACCAGACATTCTTCAAATTCACCGTCAAAATTATCTCCCAAAGTCCTTGTCACTGGCAGATTTCTAGTTGAATATAATCTGTTGATGAGTCATTTTGATCCGACACATCAGCTTTTCTGGACTAACATTAAGCGACCAAGAGAGGTTTGACCTTCCACCCCCTTTGTCAACATGCACAGGGATATGTGACGGTTACCGCATAGGCAAGATGCCATCTTTACAATGGACTGGGAGTGAAGTGCAATGTTAGTTAGCAGCACAATCACACCCTAGGTGGATGATCTTCAGGGTTTTGGTCAGCCAGCTAAGGGAAGACCTGCGTTTGTGTCAAAGTGGAGGTAGCACAATGGAATTGGCAGGCTACACACTCCATTCCCCTCATGATTTTCCCAAGGAGGACCAAGGTGCACTCATCTAACAACGATATGTGTCATCAGCGACAATGGCCATTAGAACATGGATCTCACCAATATTGAGCCTGCATCTAATGTACATTCAATGTTGGACAGACCGAATACTATGTCAGTTACATGGTCTAGCTGTCATTAGACTCTAGAATCCACTTGGACCTAACCCACTACCTCCCAAGCAAACATATGTAGCGGGCATTAAAGTCTCATTTGTGGGCTCATCTACAATCTTGATTTCTCCCTATCTCTTCTGCCTCCTTTAGAATTGTCGATGCCACCCAACTTCTCCTTAGATAATCTTCTCTTTGTAATTGACCAATCCCCCCCCCCTTTTCCTTTCTTCAGCATGGCATTCTATGTGCTGCCTCCTCCTCTAAAAAGCATTGACACAGACACGGATACTATACGACATGGACATACAAACACGATATTTCTCAAAAAAATAGGATACAACACGTTAGGGACACACTACAAATAATTGTTTTATATAAATAATTATAGAATTTATCACAAATATAGTGATAATGACATTATTCATAAAAAAAAATTAGTACTTTATGATAAATAAACGTTATGTCTATTCTTGTAGACAGTGTTGTGAAAAACAAGCCTAGGCGAGAAGCGAGAAGCAAGAAGCGAAGCGAGCTTTGGTCGTCTTGAACAATCAAGGCAAAGCAAGGTTTAGTAAAACGACTAGGTGAGGAAGTAAAGAAGCGACCCCGGCGGAAAAAGCAAACGTTTGACTGCAATTTTTTTATTTTCCCCCCTCTCCCTCCTCTCCCTCCCCAACCTCCTCCTCCCCCTCCCCCTCCTCAACATCAACTAAACCCTAGGAGAGATGATATCATATATGTATATGTATAAAATAAATTGATTGATCAGATGACAATATCATATAGTAATTTGTCTTGTTATAATTAGATGATGTTAAATGCACTGTGTTGTGGTGAATGCTCTTGTTAATCAATTTGCTTGGTTAATCAAGTTGATTAATCAATTTACTATATGTTCTATTTGATTAATCAATTTGTGAGTACTTTATTTAGTGGTGATATTAATCAATCACGCTAGGAGTCGAACTCACATTTGCTCATAGTTATCAAATCGTGTATCGGAAGGTGTATCGTTTTTTAAAAATAGTGTATCGTATCGTATCGTGTATCGTAAGATACTGCGCAATTTTAAATAATTAATAATAAAATATATATGTTTTTGAAAAAAAATTATAGACTCATAAAAACATAACATTTCATTAATATTTCACCTACTATTCAAGTCACCAATATAATTTACTAATATTTAAAAAATAATAAAGGGTATCAAATTAAATTAATGGTACTTATACATACTTAAAAGTAAAAATTATAATATAATGGGGTATTAAATGTAATTTTTTAATGGGGTATTATTAAATATAATTTTTATACTTATAACAAAAAAAAATTTGCACCTCGTGACCCACGATCGCACACACAGACAAAGAGAAGAGAGAAAAGAGAAGAGGCGAGAGGCGACCTCAAAGGCGATGGCGATGCCAGTGCCGGAGAAAGAGAGAGAAGAAGAAGAACATACCTAGTGACTGGTACCTCGTGGTCGCAGTTCATAGCGATGAAGACAGAGATCGTGAGACAGGAGTTAGTGTTAAAAATCAACCTAGGATTTCATCCGGTTAGTGTTGCTATTTTTTCTAATTTCAAAAATTTATTTGATTTGCTTTTGATTGGGTGTTTGGTTGGTCTGTGGGTTTGGTAGATTGGTAATTCTTGTCTCATCTCTTGCCTTTTCTTTGGCATTTTCTCTATTCTCGAATTTGTGAACTTGGATGTCTTCATCTCTGTTTTTGCTGTCAATGATTTGGTGCAAATCAGCAAATCAGGCTATCAAAAAAAAAAAAAAATTAAACAGGTTTTGCGCGTATCATTCGTATCGTAAAAAAGTATCGTGTATCGAATGATACAACGCAAAAACTATACATATATACGATTTGTATCGTTTTGCCTCTGTATCGTACAATACATATCGCGTATCGTAACGATACTAACAACTGTGCATTTGCTAGCTTTCCATTTAGATGATGTGAGTATATCAATTGATTATTTTTTAGAATGCAAAAATGTTCAATATTTAATATCTTGTCTATTTAAAATATGTACATATTTATTATTTTGGTTGCATTTAAATATTTTATATTTGTAAAATTAAAACTTAAATATTTAGGAGTAATCAAAGTATTAAACTAAAATATTTATTTATTTATTATACTATTCGCTTCTCGCCCAGGCCCTACGAAGACCGGTTTGCTTTACGCCTTAAATAACACTGCTCGTAGACATGTACCAAACATATATAATTTAAATAATTGCTCTTATTTTCTCATTTATTTTTTTTCTAAATCTTTTATGTATCTTTTGTTTTTGTTATTATATTTTGAGTACAACTTGAAAAAGTTTAGTTTTGGTAATTATATGTTCTCTCAAAGTATAAGATACATATTAATCAAATTTTAAACTTTATTAATCACATGTCAACACATGCATGTTATTTAGTAGTAGACACGGTTTAAATAAATGTCAAACACGTCACCAAAGAAGTGTCACACACATGTCCAAAATTTTTTTTTTAAAAAATTATTTAATTATGTACACAGAAAAATGAATATCGGACACTGACACTTCATAGCTCCTCCTTATTAGCAACTCACCATCAACATATGCTAAAAACTAGAAATTATTCCCGAATTGGGCTTCAAAATCCTTATGCGTTTTAATTATGATTTGGAACTCAAAAATTCCTCCGGTGGTCAAAACACGTAAAGTGCTCATCACCAAAACAAGGTAAGTCTCATGAAATGTTTAAATAAGTATTGGGCTCTTAAAACATATAAGCCTTCACAAAAATAAATTAGTTATGCAATAAGATATTAAATAACTTGTATCAAACAAAAACCATGTAGCAACTCATGAATTAAAATTTCACACTTATGAGATGTTAAATCTTTAAATATAACAAACAGACCATGACTCAAGCATAAGATTAACATAATTATGTGAGGGTAGAAGGGCATAACCATGTTTAAACAAGTAGTCAGAAATAGTATCACAGGATAAAGCTTTGGAAAAACTTTAACAATAAGAAATTGTAAACTTATATCCTACTGGTTGCAGTGATCCAACTGATAAAAACAAAAAGAATGTGAAACGATAAATAAAATCCATGTCTAGCAGCTTCTCATATAAAGAATAAGGAATAAGCACTTACATCAAATTGTGCATCTAGATCAGCCTGTCCTTCAATAATTTCAACAAGTTCTTGAATGCGTTCTGTGGGAGCATTTTGTCCAAATAAGCTCAACCTTCTCAAGAAGTCCATGAACATTTTAAATTCTGCCCCAGTAACATCTTGTAGATTCTGCAACGCTCAACTTAAGCTCATTTAGATTCCTTTTCTATTATTACCTCTTCATCCCCCAAAAAACCAAAAAAATAATGCCAAACAGACCAAAGATGAAAGGCCATATACAGAAAGAAAACATGAGACTTCAAATCAAAATATAATGCAATTCGAGCATACTTTCTTCACCAAATCAGTTACATGCCTCTCCATTTGCTCTTGAGGTGTCAATAGTTCTGCTTTAAGAGGAAACACCTGTAAAGCAACACCACTTACAATTCAGTTATGGTTAAAGAAAAAAGATAAAGGGATGAAAAATAATCAATACCCGTCTCACCTTATCTCTGATATAGCATATAACCTTCTCACGCATGCTTTCAGTTTCATCCGTACTGCGTTCTTCAGTGCTTCCAACATGCTTAAACAAAACCGTCAAGGAAGCTGCAGCAAACACATACATTAAGGAGCTTGGTAGTATACGATATCAATGTGAGAAAATTAATTTTACGAACTGTAATCTGACTAATCTCTCACAAAATACACCACCACAAAACAAATCACACAAATACGGTTGCTATCTTTGTGTATAATCAAATAATCTATCCTTCTTTCTACATGTAAAAAAGAATTACAATAAACATGAGAATGTAATCTGTTGTAAGTGGTGCTGGCATGCACAATTAAAGTAGTAAAGAAATGAAGCACATCTATTGGAAATATTTCCTGATTATATCAGAGCATCAGCAACTTTGGCCGATTTCCTGTTGCGCTCAGCTACTCGCAAACTTGCCAATAGTCAATTTGTAACCACTTCAATATTGATTGAATAGTGAGAAGAATCTGACTTAAGAAAACTAAAATGGAGAGAGGAAAATTCTTAGCCCCAAAAATCATAACTTAAACAGAAAAATCAATTAAATGAAGCACAAAACTACTTTAGAGACCAACGCATATCTCTAATGCAACAAATTTGTCTAAGAAGTTCAAACTTCAAAGCTCAATCCAATATGTCTATGAAAACTAAAGGAACCACACTATTGAATGTGTGACACTGACATCACATGATATACATGTCCTATTCACAATTCCTCTTATTAAAATTCTGTGGAACCTAGATGAACTCGAATAAAAAAATTATAGGTTAAGATAACAATAAACAGAAGTGCCAATATAAAGTTCATGGTAGTTCCTAGGACATTAAACATAAGGTAATTAAAATTCTGTGGAACGTAGATGAACTCGACTACAAAAATTATAGGTTAAGATAACAATAAACAGAAGTGCCAATATAAAGTTTATGGTAGTTCATAGGACATTAAACATAAGGTATTGAGTAAGGCTAACAATCAAGTTTCTATTTCCAGATTTGAATTTGTTTAACCATAACAGACAAAACATACTCTTTATGTCCTGCCGCAACAAAGTCATAAGGGCCTTATGCACAGCATCCCGTTCCACATTTTCTCCTAGAACCATCAATGAGAAATTTATTATATTAATTATTTAAATCATAAATATCACCCTCAAACATGAAAAACAATATTACCTGCTACAAGAAGCTGCACAAGAACATCGACAATTTTAGACAAACATTCTGGCGTGTCCTTGCAAAAAAGAGGAAGTCCCCGAATCGCCTGTACCCGTACCTGCAGAAATTCATAATCTTGAATCAAACCCAATATCAATGCTTTTATTGAGAGTTGAACAAAGGACTACACAATTACTAAACAGGTACTCTAACCAGCTGACCTATGATCAAAGGACTTATTTTGAACAAAACACCTAGATATACAACATTTACAAATAGTTACAAATACAAAAACTTTTGAAAAATTTGCTAAATTAAAGGTAATTTGCCTACTGCACTAGTAAAAAAGCTTGAGGTACAAATATGTGGATAGCCAATTTGTGCATATGATACAAATGGTTGAAAACCACATATTGAAAACCCAAATACGAAAGTTCCGACATCCAATGTATACCCAAGAACGTAACAGGACTGATATTGAGTTAGTTACTAACCCCAAGCTCTTCATCCACGCACAAATTAACATGCTGATCGAGAGCCTGTTCGGAAAGAGTCGGAAAGTACTTGACGAACTTGGGAATAAGCTGCGCAGCTAATTGTCTTGCCTTAACACTAAATCCTCCTGCAGCTTCTATTATGCCCTCATACTCCTTCACATTCTATTACCAAGAGACAATATAACATTACTAATCGGTCAACGTTCACGAAACCCTAAAAGTACGAATAATTGAGACCACTGAGATCGAGAACTAACTTGGGACTTGTCTTTGGCCTCGTTGAGCCGTTCTCCGTACTCGTACAGCTTCTCGATGTCCGTTGATTCATCGGAAGCTTCGGCCATTGATGGGGACAATAAAGATTAAGTAAAGTGCAAGTATGTGAGTATGAGATGTATATGTGAGCAGAGATTTGCGAAGAAGGAACGTGAATGAGGATAAGGAGACGAAGCTAGGGTTTCGAGAAAGCTATGCTAGTGAGTGAACAGAGAGGGAGCGGGGGGTGAAGGTTTGTGGGAGACGGGAGTTTGAAAGTCGACGGAACGCGAGTGTTCTCGAAGGCGGTGCGACAAGTGGGAGAGATGAATTAGGCATCTTTCCCTATCAATCGAAGGGACCCACAACCTTCTGATTCGTTTTTCTTTTAATTTTTTTAAGCACTATTAATCCGGGAGACACATATAGTCCGCTCAGTAGCGGAGATAAAAAATGTGAATAATGGATTTTTCATTTTTGAAAAAAGGAAAAATATTTTTTGTTAAAAAAAATTAATTTTTTATTATTTGATATTTGGAGGAAAAGTGAAAAGAAAGAAAAGTTATATGTATTTAATTTATCATTATATCCTTATATATAAATATATTATTTTATTACAAATAAATTTTTAAACAAATAAATATAGATATGCATATAAAAAATATATGTAATAGGATATTTAAAAAATATTTTTTGAGAAATGTATAGTTTTTGATTTGAAATTATGACATAATGTTTAGAACTAAATATTAAGAGTAAAAAAGTCAACTTGTTCAAAAAAAATGAATAAAAAAGTCAAGAAATTAATAATTTGGTCAATTTTTTATTGCTCAATTTGGTCAATTTTTATTATTTTATATAATATGAAAAGATAAATGAATAAAAAAATGACCAAAAAAAATACCATAATTGCTCTGACGAGAAACAAATGACTTTGATTTAGAACCCACTAATTTGATCCATTTGCACATCAAAAATGACAAACACAAGTGGGCCGCACACTAACTTTTTTCTCCCCTAATTTGTATTTTATAATCTGCCACTTTTAAGACTAAAATGATAATTTAAAATAACTTTTTAACTAGTGGCGTTCTTTTCAGCCACTTTCCTTCCATTTGTGGAGTGATTAAAAATGGTGGCTGCATTGGATACTTTTTCCACCCATTTTTTCTTTTCCCTCAATTTTATTTTCACATCAAACAAAGAAAAATGTCATTTTCTATCCCATTTTTCATCCACCCACTTTTCCACCAAACTAAACAGGCCATTATATATAATGAGATCTAAGATAAATCGATAATTGATAATTTACTTTAAAAAAATTAAGAGAAAAAACATATTTTATAGGATTTCAATCTTGATCAAAGTTACCATCAACGATTAGGAATTTTTTTTTCTATTTTTGGTTGAATCTCAAAATTAACTATTTATTGTTTCGGTGATTGAATTCGCTCTAAATTATAAGCTAGCAGAGAATATTATTCCTTATTCAAGAAAAATTTATATTTTACATAAAACTTTACTAGTCGTGGGGCTGTATTATGCATAGAATTTAAAATATTTATTAATTATTTTATATTACATCAAAATGATAATAAATTATATATGATAACTTAATTATTTAAAAAAAATTAAATAAGTTGTAGTTCACTAGTGGAGTGAAAATGTGATAGCATAGATCAAGTGAAAAAAATGTCGCTGGATAAATTTTGTATTGCAATGACATAAATAAAAATTTTGAAAAAATAAATAGGCCCTCTGTCACTTAAATTGATTGTAATAGTATAATTTTTTTTATGTTAATAACTAATACTTTAAGGGGGTGTTTGTTTGGGGTATAATAGTGGTATAAGGGGGTGGGATTGGGAAAAATAGTAGAGGTTTTTGGAGGCCGGTGCCCCAATAGGATTCCAAAAAAAACCGACTCGCCAATTTTTTTTTATATTAGGTCCCTGTTAAAAAGTAAAAACAATGGACATAATTAACACCCTTTAAAATTGAAAAAAAATAATGATAATGTCATCACCTAATTTAAATACCTATTCTAAAATATTATGTCATCATAATGTAATTTTCTTCTCCATAAATACAAATCTTCAGACAGGTACACTAATCTTTAGATAGATACACAACAGGTATGCAATAAAAATATATGTGTTTATATAGGTATACAACGTATCACATACGATGAACAGCATACATGATCATTCATGTACATTATACAAATATATGCATCTATGAGATAGGTACATCAATATTTAATTGAGAAAAAGCTACATATATGTTATTAAATGATTAAAAAAAATCCCAAAACACTCTCAATTCGAAATCAAACCCTAGTCATTAGGTCGATTTCAACCACTCATATTTCTTTGGGTCTACAATCACTTCAGTCATGCATGCACCAATACTCATTCTTAGTAAGTACAACTAATTTTTTTTTCGGGGGTCTTTCAACTTTCTTCACACTATTGATTAAATCGCTTCTTTTGTGTGAACAATTTGTGTTCTAATTTGATAGATGGCTACGTTATCATCATTGATAGGTCGTCTTTAAGTTCTTTTCGAATTCTTCTAATATTATTATTTTGACTAATTTTAACATCCTTGATGAACAACTATCGAATGAAGAAGATAAAGGGGTTTGATTATCAGTTTTGGACCTGTGATTATAGTTGCTTCGGTTCCACAGTCTCCTCTCCACATCGTCGTCGATGAGAGACTAAACTGGATGAGGACAAAATGACTAATAAATATACAACAGCTGCCTAACCCCACTAACACAAAGACTGCATCCAAAAATTTTAAAAAAAGGAGGACCTTTTTATACGCTAAAAATCTGCTAGACTAAACTTAATTTACACATCAAATGAGTTACCTTAGCCTAATTTACTAAAAAAAGAACAATAGGCCCATTATTACCTTGTTTGTATGCCTATTTGCGTGTAGTGTTATTTTTCAGGTCGCAATACTGACCTAGTAGCTACAGTACTTCAAAATAGCCACACAAAAAAAGTTATAGTACCTCAAAACCCATGTACATGGGTTTATATAATATCACCTAGGAGGTAGTATTATCAACTGGGTAAGCGCCATCGAAGTATAAGGGGATTAAATGACTGAATTATCCTGCGCACTTAACTCTCATATAAAATGTCTTTGATGTTATTTCATTTTTTTCGGAAGGTAACTCTAATGTTATTTCATCTCTATGCTTGGCTTTGCTGAAGCAGATGAAGACATCTCTGCTTCCGACTCCAGTTTTCCACCCCCAAGTAACATCTCTCACCTATCTGATCTCCTCATTTCTCACCCACATCAACACCATCTTAAACCATCAACGATATTTCTACAATCAGTGTGTGATAGGGTTTTTGATACAGAAAATTTTTGATTTTCTATTTCGTATAACCACATCCCCCATCAAAACTGAATAATTTGTATACCCACATTCCCCATGAAATGATTTTGGTACCCACGACCCGCATCAACACCAAAACACATCTCTTACCCCAATTTACGTACACAATGACGATGTACATTATCAGAATTACACAGAGAATGCGTATGAAATTTTTACAAAAATAATATATACTGATTAGGTTTATCAGAAAAGAGCTTAAAAATGCAAATATGCAATATTTGAAATTTTTTTTTTTTAGATAGTTGTTTTATTGGATGCATTTGGCAAAAGAGTTCCTATGCTTCAACAATATTGTCTTATTTCATGTTATTATGGTGCAAAATTGATTGAACAAGGTTCTTTTTTTTTGTTGATTTATGTTTAATCATACGTTGTGGACTTGTTTTTTGTCTAATTTTATTTTTATTGCACATACATGTCAAACATAGACGTACGTTAATGTGGACATATAATATTTTTTATTGTAATTTTTTATTTTTTTTCCTATTTTTGCAAAGATTCATTGCACCAAAACGTGTTCAACACCCACGACGTCTACTCGCCACTCAGGTATACATTTTGACCTCGTTGTTCTTGATAGTCCCTAACACGTTAGGGACAATATTACACATGCCTATATTTATATGTTTCGTGATAATCATTTGTATTATGTTATGAGGCTTTGTATCGATCTTTACGGTTCACCTAAAGTAGATAGCAAAAGATTATAATGAATTAAGAACAAATTAAATTGAGGTATTTGTTGGCATGTCTTATGTGGTATGGATGGTTGTACACCAATGTTGTGGTGAATTTTTTGAAACTCATGTTTTTAGCATGTCGACGTTTTGTTTAAGGAACATATGCATCTTATGTGTTTGAAAAATATATAAGCTTAAGACTTGTTAAATTTAAATAAAAGCTTGGAAGAACAACTATGACCTGTGATATCATATTATGTTGATAGTATGATTAACTTGCAATTGTAATGGATGAAGGAAACAACCTCAGTGTGCCATTGGTGGTTTGTGTTGGATAGTGTGTTACCTGACCTGGTTATGATATGCTCATTTATCATTGTTATGATAACCAGTATGTTGGAGATGAATGAAATGGCAACCACTCGTAGACTGTAAATAGAACACTTGAATAGATTGATAAGTGAGAGCGATATAACTTACTACAATCAACTTAGGATGGATAAGCGATCTTTTGTGAGATTGTGCATTTTAGTTGAACAGGTTGGCGGGCTAAATCGTACATGGAATGTTAGCATGGAAAAGATGGTTGCAATGTTCTTGGCCATCATTAGCATGATGAGAAGAATAGACCAGTAAAATTCAGTTACGTTAGGTCTGGTGAGACGGTGAGTAAATATTTCAATGCACTGTTATTGGTGGTGCTTTAACTACGTCGATTGTTGCTACAACCTTCTGAACCAATCACGGAATAATGTACTGATCAAAAGTGGAAATGGTTTATGGTATTTTTATGTAAATTGTTTTCTCAATTGTATCGTGAATAGGCTTGATTTCTTAAGTTTAGCATTTGATAATTTAATTTTTGTTTCCCCTTTTTATAACAGTGTTGGGGAATTAGATGACACTCACATTAAAGCTAGAGTACCCCTAGTACACCAAGTAAGATATTGGACAATAAGGGGTCAAGTTACAATAAATGGGTTCG